AAGCTTTAAATAGCATGGAGTGGTGATGAGACTATCAGATTCTGATAATTTATTACAAAAATGTAGAACAGTTGACAAATAATATTTATGTATAAAAAGTATTTTAGGCCATTTATGTAATTCAACATCTTAAATCATTTTTTTTCAATGGGCTACAGCCTGAAAATAGAACAGGACAAAGTGGAAGCTGAGTAGCAAAAGTAATAAATCATAGTGTTAGACTTCTGCCAAACAGTATCAAGAACCACAGCTAAGCATACTGTCAAACACACCATTCAGATAATCTATCATGACACTTGGACAAATTAGACTTGGAGTTTGCTGCCGTTATTTAATTTTCTCTTTTTAATACTTTTTATGCTCTGTTAACTTTATTGAGATATGATTCATATAATATTCAGTTCATCCACTTATAGTATATGATTTATTAGTTTCAAATGTTCAGTTATGACTTTTATTTTTGTGATATTAAAAAGAAGTTAGCTTTTATCTCCTTTGTCCAATCAATCTAATAGCCCCCCAAAGACACCAACCTACTTTCTTTTGGTATTTCTCTCTTCAGAAATCTCTATTTCATAATAATTATATATTATGTGGATTTTTTGTGACTAGTTTCTCTCACCTTTTCACAATTACTTAGAATATTAATTCATTCCTTCTTATGAGTACATAATATATGACTTTTACTGCATGCTTCAAAGTAATGTGTTTAGATTGTTTCTACTTCCTATCTAGCAAAAATAATATTACTCTCAGAACTATATACCTTTTTTTGTGTGTGCGTTTGTGTGCAAAAATATTTAATCTGGCTCTCATTCCTATTCTGAATATATTTTATGGTGAAACAAGAGACTCTCCCTTTCTTTATTAAACTTATGTGCATTAAAACAAATGTTTTATTATATTAATTTACTACATAAGGATTTTATTAATACTCTGATATTAATGTGTCTTCTTATTACAGTGAGTGTCAGCTGATGCAGCGACTCATAACTGGTTCAAATGTGAAGAATAAGGGATGAAGAAGTGCTCAGTCCTAAACTTTGCTTCCTAATACTATCTCTTGTTCTTTAGAACAAGTTCTCCTTCTTTTCTTATGGCCTTGTGTGGATGAACCACTGTATTTAATTAGATAAGCTTGGCTGCATGAACAGGAATGAGTGTTAGGTACTTGAACCAGCAGCAATATCTCTTAGAAATAAGACCCCTTTCACCCTAGAAACCATTAGCTGTCTATAGTCATCAGGGAAGTGTAAGTCTCTATGAGGGCCCCATTCATGAAAGACTGGGTTCAGTCTTGCATCCACAACTGCTGAGCTCATGGGTACAACAGCCATGTCATGGCCAGACCATAGCATATCACAGCATTCCCCTCCATCCTCTGGCTGGTCCATTCTCCAAGGCCCCAGTTTAGCAATGTTTCCTGATCCTTAGAAGGGGGAATCAGATGATGTGTTTAGGACTGAACACTTCTCCATCCCTTATTCTCCACATTTGAACCAGTTATGGGTTTCTGCTTCAGCTGCCACTCATTGTAACAAGAAGACACATTAGTATAAGAATATTAATAGCATCTTTATGTATCAAATTAATATAATAAAACACTTGTTTTAATGCACATAAGTTTAATAAAGAAAGAGAGAGAATCTTGTTGTCTGTATGGAAGTCCTACATGCCTTTATAAGCAGTCTAGAGACACTCAATGATAACAATGCTTATAAAATGCTTTCTGAAGAAAGAGTTTAGTTCAGATCACGTTTAACTGAATACTATATTTCCCTGGATAGTTATATCATTGTGTGTGTGTGTATGTGTTATCCTCAATATTAAAGATTTTCATATTAAATCTGTTAAATGTTTGGATTTAATTGAAGTCACTGTAAATTCTTTGTTTAAATTCAAGGTCAGAATTTGGCCCTTACTGTGTAATTAGTATTTGCTTAACATACTGGAAGTCATAATTGGAATTCTTGCTGGAGTGAGATGACCTCAGTTACAACTAATGACTTGGACCCCAGCAGCAGAAAAATTTAAAGCAGACTGAAAGAAAACTCAAAGAAGGCTGCAAACTGGTGATGAACTGCATTGTAAGGAAGTCCTGTGGAGGAGGAGTGTGTGGAGGACGTCTCTGCTCGCATATACTCTCACGGTTACAGCTTTCGGAAGTTTTATTTGTTATAACTTACTAGAAACAAGAAACTATTTTTTCTCAAATGTCATACCTAATATTTCCATAATTATATCATAAAGTGCAATCATATAAAATGACTAAGAACTATAGGGCTTGGAAAATGAGCAAAATTATATTTTAAGGAAGGTTTTGAAATTTTTCGATACTAAATGGATTGAATCTTTCATAGCCAGAATTACCTAATTTCCCAAAGACCATACAGGATGTAATAATGCCATAAATAACATTTCTATGTAATTATCTATAATTAACTACCACCGTGCACACTAGATGGTACTAAGGTTAACGTGTATATCTCTAGGCTCCCTGACATCTTTGTGGTGCCCCCACTCAACATTCATTACACATCTAAATGCTGATTTTAAGTGCATGGGGAGAAAGAAGCAGGGAGGAAACTAACATCTTCAGGCTCCTTGTGATAGAGACAGTGAAAGCTGTGAGAATGTAGCGGTTTGTCAAGGAAAGGAATGTATGGTGTGATGCTGCCTGCACTGATGTACACCTCACCACCCACTGTAGTCAGCTTACAAAATAAACCAGGGCAGGCTGGATTCATAGTTTCATGGGAGGAAGACTAATCACTAAGCTATTAAAGTAATAATTTGCTGTTTCTGAGATGGAGGAATTTCTATGTGCCAGATAATAGATAGGTCTTAGGTAACTACCTTGTGGGTAGATTCACACATAGCTAAACACACAACGACATTTCAGTTAGCATTGTCTGTTCTACTTTTCCTATTTTACGTATCAATACAGTTAATAACTTTCAGATAAGATTAAATGAAATGGAAAGTGACGTTTATTTACACTCACTTGGTAAAGTTTCAAAAGTCCCTGAATAACTTGTAATGGGTGAATTTTAGATATAAAATAAACCTCAATAATTTTATTTAAAAACTGAAATGGAAGTTCTCTATAATACCATGTTTACCCCTTTTCATCAGCTGATAAGCATCAGTCACTGATAACTTTATTAATTATTCAAAAATTCTATTCAATAAGTACATATGTTTACAGTAAATATGTATTTTCAGATGAGGAAAGTTAGGATCAAAAATTAACCTGAGTTTCTCAAAGAACTTTACCTGAGTTCCCCAGTATCATTCTCTGATAGTTAGGAAGGTGGATCTCTCCTAAGTGTGGTCACTTAGAGTGCACACAAATCATTCCAGCTAATCACAATACTTCAGATCAAGTCAGAGAAATATCAGTTTCTAGTTTTTCTTTAAAAATATCTTGGAGTAGCCGATTGTGCCGTGTCTATGGCTATTATAGCTATAGTTTCTCACCATACCTGACCATTTTGGTGATAAGAAAATTTCCTTCCTTTCAAAGTATAGTTTGCATGGACGGTTCAGTGGATGGGTGCTTCTAGCATCCTACCAGGTACATGACAGTTTAGATTAACAGTAGAATTGCTTCCTGTGCTTATATTGAGTAGAAAAAAATGTTCTGCTATTTCCTTTACATCACATGTTTGATGTTTTTAAGGATGTTAATAAGAAAGAACTATTGATATGATAGCCACTGCTAATTACATTACTCTATTATGTAATATATAATTACATTCAACAGATTTCTAGAGAGAACACCTTTTTACTTATTCTTCAGGAAAACAACCGCAGCAAAAATACCCAAGAAGGAAAAGGAGTGGAGCAAGATGAAGCTAAGCATAGTTTGCTGAACACAGTTTGATTTCCTTTTCTGAAGCCTGTATAGATTCTGAGAATATTCTAGTGTAAGTATAGACTTATGACAGAAAAGCTTAAACCAGAGAAGGAAGTGCTGTCGTTAGTTCACGGGCATCCTTGTTTCTATAGCAAGACCTCAGTCCTCTGCCTGGAGAACTTGCCTTCAGGTGAGTAGCCACCGGAAGACAGACAGACACAGGACATGTGTTTTTCCTCGTTGTGCAATGGGTTCATCTGCCAGTTCCTGCTTGCCCATTTATTAATACACAGCATTTGCAGAAGTTACAAACGGGAATAAAGCAGGTGAAAGTCATTGTCATTCTTCTTGAGCTCTGTGATATAATGTGACCTGAAGTTACATGACGTGGGGCAGTGATGCAAGAAGAAAGGACCCAGAAACACCAGCTTTTGAAGGGCACACTCTCCTCTGCCATTTACAAAGATGTGAGGAACACAACTAGCTCACTGATGTCGGGTTGGCAAGTTACTTACTCATGCCTCACTCTTTCTTTATCTATAGAGCGGAGAAACATCTCTTGGCAGGGTGGTTTTGAGAAATTTTTATTCATTTAGCAAGCATGTATTGAATTATTTGTTAAGACTGAGTAATTAAATAGTGAATCAGATAAAAGGACGTTTTCATTCCTATAAAATGTTGCAGTGGAGAGAAACACGTGGTATTTAAGTAAATAAATTCAGCATTAATGATAATTGCAGATTTATCCAATATGATGAGGTCTGTGATGGAAATAGGAAGAACAATCACTCCTCTCCCTCTCCAGTGTGTGTGTGTGTGTGTGTGTGTGTGTGTGTGTGTGTGTGATGCTGGAAATACAACCCATGGCCTTTTTTTTTTTTTTATATTTAAGATCGTGTTCTGCCACAAAGTTATATCCCCGGATTCTGAGTTCCACAGAGATAGGATTGTCAACTTTGTTCTTCAAGCAAAGGCAGCAGTAGACTAGAAAAGTAGAAAACATTCATTCTGATTTAAAAAAGATTTCCCTAGCTGGAAACATTGGCTGAAAAAGGCTTCTGAAGTTTTAGCAGCTGAGAACCATAAGAGCACAGGTTTACCTGGAGCTCTAACTAGATCTGAATTAAACGATAATGCTTACCTTTGCTTCCTTCCTTGCAATGACGTATTTCTGACACCCAATTCTTTATGTTGCTCACTGATTTTGAAGGTGATAGTCAGACAACATGCCTTTGGATTTTACAAGTCCGTAGGTGGAGGATCCACAGAGATGAGGCTTCTCATCCCACTCAGACCTAAACCAGAAACCAGATGTTCAGTATTAAGGTTAATGTTGTAGTTCAATAAGAAGGGTGGAGAAAATGAGCTGGAGACAGTGTGTAGTTTGCTAGAAAGAAGGATGCAAGTTACTGTATACAGAAGGCAGATTATTTAAAATCGCTAAACTAACACCAACCAGGTTCATTTGTAGTGTTATTTTACTGTTCTGATCATATGCAAGGGTGTGTCCCCTTCTCTTGAATGTGTGCTGGCCATGTGACTTATTTAGTAAATAAGATGGAGCAAAAATGCTCAAGACTACAAGGTCACAGGGGAAAAATCCATATGATAAGAAGGATGAACAGAGAGAAGGAGGAAAAAGAAAACTCAGCAGGCTCAAAGAATGCCAAACTTCCTTCGTGGAGCATTTGAGATGAGCAAAATCACCACAGACCCTACCAAATACCAGTAAGCCCAAAAGGAACAGGCTCCTTATGAGAGAGTGTGGAGAGGATGTGACTGTCAGTTACAGAACTATTATATAGGGTAGTATTATTTTGAGACACTGATTCTCATGATTTGTTCCTTATTGATAAGTAACCAAAATAGTAGAGAATTTTTCAAAAAGCCTGAAGAATAATGATATTCAAATGTAGCTGATTAACAGGATTTTAAAAAGTCTAGAGGTCATTCAGGATTATTGATGTAACTTCATAAATAATTTTTCTAAAGTCAGAAATGTCTACTGGAGAGTCTAGGGAGATCGCTCCATGACCAAGAACTCATTTTCCTCTTCAGAGGAACCAAATTTCGTTCAAAGCACATATATCTGGTAGCAACCCCAGCTCCAGGGCATCACATAGTTATTTCAGGGTCAAATGAGGTATAGATTTTGCAGCTACTTTGTAGAACTTAAAGATAAAAGAAATATTAGCAATGTAGAGAAAACTAACATTGAATGTTCAGTCACATAGCACTGGGTATATGAAATACCTTTCATGGGTTAAATTGTGCAATGTAATGAAGCTTTGTAAACCCCAAAGAAAACATTGATTAAATGAGGGGTTCCCTGAATCCCCGGGTGCATTAAGTAATAAGAGAAGGACTATGCCTCACTTCCTCAAAGCCTGAGGCTGAAACCCACTCCTATCTCTTGGTTGTTGGCTTTATCCTGAGCATCAATAGGCCAGTCAACCCTCTGTGTATGGAAACAAGGCCAGCTGGTAATGACGTTCCATGGACTCGATCACTAAGGACAGAGACTATAAAATGTGACACACACAGTCCATAAGTGTACATTATTTTAAGTTTTTGGCGATGATGCTGAAAATTGCTTTGACAGATTGACAGCCATGGCTCAATTTACTTACGGGCTACTGAAATATTTAAAATAAAAGAGTCTTGTAGTTTTGATGACAATTTGAATGAAAGCATTTTGGAAGAGTTGTTTTTGGTATTTGTGGATGGAACAAGGGCGATTCAACATGGCTGAAGGCTTACTCACCTCTTTCTCACTCTTTGTTTGTTGTGCCAGGAAACCACACACAGAAAAGCTCACCAATATCCTCAACATTTTTTTTAATCACTAAAACATCTTTAGATTGTGAGTAGGTCATTTCCAGAACCTCAAATCCTGTTGGTTCTTAAGTTTAATTCCAGCACTAAGGAAGCAGAGACAGGTAGATCTCTGTCAGTTTGAAACTAGCTTGATCTAGTGAGTTTTATGCCACTCAGGATCCTACAGAAAGAAAAAATATATATTCTCTCTTTCTGTAGGAGAGAGAAAGAGAAAAATTTAAAGAGAGAGAAAGAGAAATTTAAAAAGAAATTTCTTGATATCATGCTCTGCCTTCATTGATGTTCGGGTGAGGGGTCTCATCCTACCTCAATTGGTGTGCCTGACTTTGTTGAGTTCCCAAAGGAGGCCCTGTTTGCTCTAGAGTGGATGGAGGGAGTGAAGGGAGTGAGATTGGGGTACGTGAGGGGCAGGGGAAGGAGAGGGAACTGGGGTTAATATGTAAAATGAAAACTAACTTAAATTAAAAAGGAAGGAGAAATCTAATGAAAGCAGAGTTTAAAATGATTGAGAGTACCATAGCAGTTTTGGTGGTTGAGGAGCCATGTTCCAGTTAGGTAAGATACATTATTATTGTTGACCAATATCACTCTAGAGTGTAATAAAAAAGGAAGTTGATTTATCTTGTCTAGCTGTTCCTGATGACTCTCTGTATTTCTCCATTTTTCTTTTCATTATCTGAGAGTGTTAGTGTTTCATCATGTGAGCTATCTTAGTGTCGCTTTTACCCTTCCCTATTCGGCTCCTTCCATTTGTCCTCCCGTTTCCACTTGAACACATGGCCTGTGCTCTACAGTTATTGTACACACACACATACACACATACATACACACACACCTGACAGATAATTTACTGTTGCTTGTATGTACATGTGTTTAGGGCTGCTTACTTAATATTGAATAAGCTATTACAGGATTTGTCCTTAGAGAAGATGGAGTCTCCTTTCTTTGAAGTCAATGATTGCATGTAACTTTAACTTTTCACCAATGCCAGGGCCTTGTTCAATTTCTCCCATCCACATCAACATACTGAATTTTTTTTTTATTATGAAAGTGCTATTTAGGCAACCATGTTGTTGAGATTTAAAGGGTTCAATATCCTTGACACATCTATGAAACATTATCTTTTTTAAAAAAATATTTATTTATTTATTATGTATACAATATTCTGTCTGTGTATATGCCTGCAGGCCAGAAGAGGGCGCCAGACCTCATTACAGATGGTTGTGAGCCACCATGTGGTTGCTGGGAATTGAACTCAGGACCTTTGGAAGAGCAGGCAATGCTCTTAACCGCTGATCTCCAGCCCCGTTTTTTTTTTTTTTTTTTTTTTTGAGACAGGATCTTTAAAAGTAGAAATCCCCCTAATAATGTAAATAACATGTTCAAAAGAATATATATGCATATATCTGTATATATACATATACACAGATGTTTATATGTATAAATTACTTGTTACTATATATATATATAATATACAATGCACACATATATTTACATATTACAACTAGGCATATATTCCAAGATTGAAGACCCATACCCAACCAAAAACACAGTTAGGAGGCAAACTCTTGGATAGAAAATTGAGACAAAAAGCCAGCTAACAACGTTAAGTGTTAAAAAAGAATTAGGGCAGCAAAAGTACATTTCTAGTTGGTCTGAAAGAAGCCTTTTGGAAAACAAAAAACTTATACATGTAAGTGCCTCTAATGTGTTGGTTTAATTTCCTGTGGATCCATACCAATACATCTCAGAGTCAGATCATAAGTTGTTATTTTGAAGTTTAGGTTTTTAAGGAACGTCTGTACTATCCTCGATAGTGACTTTATTCATGGGTCGGAAGTGTATACCATCCCTTTCTCCAGAACTGAAATAGCATGTGTTGTTTCTGTCATTTTGCTTATAAGCAATCTAACTGTCATAATATGTTGCTGCTAGTTTTGATTTACATTCTCATAAGATTAACAATATTCACCATTTTTAAAAATTTTATTGACTTTGTATTTTTCATTTTGAGGAATGTATTCAGATTACTTTCCCATTTCTTTATTCTTAAATTTTCTTATTTTTGAAGACTTTTTATATTTATGTAATCAAATATGGTCATATCTGTTCCCCTTTACTCTCCAACTTGCCTAGACTCCTTATCACCTTGAACCCCTCACAATCATTGTATTAGGTTTTCACCTTTTTTAGGTTTTCTTGTGTAGTTGATTATTTTATAGATATCATGAGTAGGATTATTTCCATTATTTTTTCTCAGAAAGGTTATTATTGTAATATAAATAATCTATCAGTTTGGGTATGTTGATTGTGTAAGTTTTGCGTTCTAATAGTCTACTGATACAGCCTTTGGATTTCATTTGGAACGACATCTACAAACAGCAATAACTTGACTTCCTTCCTATCTGTAATAGACATTTATTCTTTGAAAGCACTTATTGTATGCAGATTCATAAGGCACAGATAGGATTATATTAGACATTCAAATCAGTATTTTAATCTAGTGATTGTATTGGTTTATATTCCGTCAAAAGGAGTGATGCCTATAAGATTGCTTAAATAAGAAATAAATAATATGTCTAGGCTTTTAAAAAAGATCATATTAAAATGCATAAAGCTATCTTAAACAGTATGATAATGGAGAGTATAAATAAATAAATTGAATTAAAATAGTACTAAAGTTAATCCCATTACACATAAGACCTTAGGAAATAGTCTACTTAAAATTTGATATGGCGACATCTGTATACGTGCAGTAAGTATTCTGGAAGATGAATCACTCACAGACTGTTTGGTGGAAGTCCAAGGGCTGCATCGCTCTTTCATTTTTGTGTATTAGTTAATTTACTTTGTCTCAAGAAAGAAAACATTTATTTGTAGCAGGGAGTGAAAGAAGCAGAAAATAGGTAGCGTAAAATAACTCCTTTTAATATTTCCTTCAATTTTTTTTTGGGGGGGTCAGCGTGAGAGGAGTGGAAATACAGGATGTTCTGACATTCTCCATTTGTTTGAAGTTTGTATAAAGAGATTTTCCATAGCAAATTACTTTAAGTTCAAATCTGATGAGTTAAAGTTACTTTGGATTTCTTTCCTCTTTTGAACTAACTTTCTAAACGCCTCTAAAGTATTTCTCCTTGAAACTCTAAAGAAAATTCAACTTCAAATCTTACTTTCGTTTTATTTCCAGAAAAGCGTGAAGTGCAGCAGTCACACGCTCATGTGTAGATGTGGGGACTGTCACAGTCCCGGTGAATGCTGGGGGACATCTCTCTCCGGCCCCTTCCTGCTTACTCTGGCAATGTAGTTTCCCGATGACTCAGGATGCTGTACTGATGAACGAACTGTGTGGCAACAAAGGTTCTTCCAATGTGCTCTGCTCTTGCCAACAGCGATGCTAATGCCATGCTTGTGGCTTGACTTGAAGCAGGAAG